CGTCCATCAGGCAGACCACTGGCCTGGTACAGGAATCTGGCCGCTGTCACTTAGGTAAAGCTTGAAACGGTGAGGTATGGCTGACGAGTATGCTGTGGCCGTCACGATTCGTCACCGATCACCGACCGGCCCGGCTGCTCCAGTAGTTATTTACTTCATCGCTAATCGTCGCCTCCAGCGATATGGTAAATGTGAACTTGAACTGAATGAGTGTCAGTAACGGGTTCATTTGCTTGGGCACATGGTTGCCACCTTTACGTCATCTCCGATGATTTGCTTTATACCCATGGAAGTTAAAACACCGCAGATCGTCGGTTATAATAACAAACAGATAACTGGTTGTTATATTCATGAATTCTGCTGGATGGTGGCGAAATAAACTTCACTTGTAGCCTTTCACGAAGTTTCGCTGATGCTCAACCTTGGCACGACAACTGATTGCTTATCGTGGCTAATCTGATAGATGTTCCGCCCAATAAAGGCGAATCCTCTTGTCTGTTCCGTGTAGTCTTTAAGGATGACGTTAGAAGTCAATCCACTCTGAGTCGAGGAATTGACACTTAGAATAAATCACTTCGAAAAACTCGTTTTAGCATTATTTTCATCGATCTCCGTCATACTACTTTGTGAAGTAGAAAAGGCGACATGTCTGCACTAATCTAATATGTTTTGCTACTAAATTAAAAAGTTACTCAGAACTGAACGTGACAGTTCTCAGTTCCCTGAAGGATAGACCGAACAATACAACGCCTTTATTAATTTTCGTAAAAAGCCTGATTAAATCTTTTTCTCATACCTTAGCATCTCGGAGCAGAAGCTGATGACTCTTTCTTCTAAACTTGTAGCCGAAAAGAGGATTACGATCACTTCCGAGGAGAACCACCAAAATAAAACACAAGAACGAAAGTTATTCACACTAGCATGGTAGGGCAAGACAAGGTAAGGGCTATTGCAAAATCATACCTTATTTCGCTAACTCACTGAACAGAGTATGGCGTATGGTGTTTTCGTACACATTTCTGCATTTCAACCGTCAGATGATCGGCTTCTGTTACCCTACAGCATTACAGGCGTGCTTAGCCGCAGGTTATTAAATACCCTGACACCTGAAACCGGCCAAAGACCAGGCGCCCGTAACATACATACGTCGTTCTGGAGTTGCGCGCGCACACGTGGAGCTACGAAGCACGGATGAACACGAGTAAATGCTAAAAACCGCGCGTGTTAAAATATTTTGACTCGGCAATTCAAACCTCAATCATATGTTCAAGTTTTTGTTGACGTCCCAACGCACTGCGATCGATTGTCGGTTGCTGTTGGCGTAAAACTGGATTTGACCAACCTGAGAATTGGATTCACACTGTACAGGGAGTACGCGTCTCGACATGGTCCCGAGTACACAAATCCGCGGCAACCTAC